GCACGTTGATTCTACACGGGTTTACTAAAGCTCTGAAATAAACACAATGAGTTATGAGCTAACGTGTTGCAAATATTATACAGTTACAATGCTTAACGAAGTATGAGAAACCTCAATACATAATTTTCATATCTGGTATCGGGAAAGTTATATTTGCTAAACATATACTTTAGTACTATGGCTGCTCAATACGCTTTAGTTGTAACGAACTAGTTCATAGGCTGCTTTTTCGAACGCTATTAGCATACATCAACAACAGATGGCACAGCATTAACCATAAGAGAAATTGCGTGAAAACTATACAACAATAGGAAAAATAATTAATACTGTTCGAAATCTAGAATTCGATACTAGAAAAACCGGGCAAAACTTAACTTGCTTAATGTTTATTATGAAACCACTCTATGATTATGATAATTTATTTCCATTGTATTAACTATGTTGTTAACTCATGGTAGCTCAACTCCGTACAATTGTATTGAGAATTCCTCACAGTTGTTATACTAATACTGATTTCATTTTTGAAAAATCACACATTTTTTGGGAAATTGCACACCACCTTCACCTTTCAAATCATTTTAAAACTAAATAAACAGTATCATTGCCAGTTTTTTTTAAATAATTTTATTTATCAAATAATTTTAATTGAAAACACCTGAATTCAATGCATATTTTACACAAAGGCTTCGTCTTTGACTCCAACCGAAAGTAAAATAAAAACATATTTTATTGCCAAAAATATAACATGGGGAATATTCTTGGCATTTTTAAAAATATTTTTAATTGAAAGCAATTAGGCTCCATAAAGCTCACTACAATGTAGAACATTACAGAAAGATAACTTTCATTATTGAACTAAGATATAACTTAATTTTATAGCTTTCTGCGGAGGCGAGGCAAGGCAAGGCTTCCGACAGGATGGTGTAAATTAGAAGCATTTTGTACACGCAGAAAACAAAGATACTGAATGATCTGAAAATTAATCATCTAAAATGACAGTTGCGCGTCAAATAGCAAAGTTACGAACTGATGTTTGAGCTTGCAGCAGCATACAGTGACAGATGCTTTAGTGAAAATAACAAACAGGATAACTCGAGCAAGAACGAAAGAAGCAGTTATAGGTTTCAACAGTAAAAGTGTTTTCACTTTTCGAAGTTCGCCAGTGAAAGTCAATCGAGTAGTTGTTCATTAAAATACTATATAAGCGGATTCTACTTTACTCTTTCTTCCGAAGCGATGATATTCAGTAATCTTCCGTACATGTTTCATGTCACATAATCAATGGTTTTCTTCAGAATGAACGTTAATGAGAATACTTATCAGATTTTCAGATAATCAGAAAGCACTAAAACATTCACATTCGTTCCACACACACTGAAAAAAATCACCAGCGCACCACTAATCATGCACTTTCAATCACGAAACACCAGTCGATTCGCTGTGTATATCATCGTATAAAAACAAACATTTCCCACTCTCTGGGGCACTGCATTTAAAACTCAGTCGCCACCGAACGTGAATGCACGGAAAAAACATAATAAAACGCAACCGAAACGGAAGCTTAATGCGAAACAATAACGCCTTAATCTAACGGTAAGTCGTCATTTCTAAAAGAGAAAGAAAACAAAAGAAGTGTCGTGCGCTCGCACGTGCACTCGGCGAAGCAAAAACAAACGTGGAGGCCACTCGCGTTGGTCTGTCCATCGATGCGGCCGCCAACACCGAATAACTGGCCTCCACACGCCGCCGCCGCGGCGGTGGCGGCTGGCGGCGGCGAAAGACCGGATGTTGCCGCTGGCGGGCGCGGCCGTTGGCCATGACGTCGCGGTTTCCTCTGGGCGCTACCTTTTGGTTAAATGAAAGGCCGCCGCCCCACGACAGCACAAATACACGCGCCATGGACCCAGGCGTTCAATTGGAATGCTCGCGTCTGCAATCCAAGGTCACTCATTGGGGGACGGATTCAGTATCAGATGTCAAACAAATTTCTATTCAACAAAACCAAATCGAACAATTTCCGAATTCAACCTTGCTCCAACCTCGGATTCCTGGACAAACATATTTAAAAAAGGTACCGGTACAACCTTTTTGAACATTCAGCGCCAGCTAGTGAATAAGTGAGGAATTCCTTACATGCGCGTAGTTAGAATAAGTAGTTAGTAAAAAATGTTTACTATTAAGCCAGCCAAAAATCAGATATGTAAAAGTACTACAGTAACGGATTTGTGTACTTTAATTATCCAATAAGTAGCTAAAAATGAAAATGTCTCCCTGCGAAGTCTGATGAATTACTAGGAGTTTATCCAATCAAAATTAAAACACTTATCCTCAAAATAAAACAATTGATGCTGATATGTGGTTTACTTTATAACGTTACGCTACAAACATTGGATTATTTTTTTTATTATAACATCCAGACAGTTATATAAAAGTATTGAGATATGAATAATGTAAAAGAAATAGGATTGAATAACTTCGTTAATGCGATTGTGCATCGGGCCTCTAAAGAAATATAATTTAACCTCCGGAGAACCTTTGTCTTGCACTTATGTAATTGACTATAATGAGGCAGTTTTATTGCTTCATATCACCAACAATTGTTTGTTACCGTTACTCATCTACTTTTAATTAAATACGTCGTATTAAGTGTAAACTGAAGATGCTAAATTGTTTGGCAAACATTCGTTCTTATAGCCATTTAGGCAGTTCTTCGTTTAGCTATGACGAAGTCTTTATTCACACTTGTCTCATGAATATCAGGAAGATATTAGACCATAAATTCCACATTTTTTCCAAACATTTCGCCGAAAAGAAAATAGAAATATCTACAAGTGTTTACCAGTGTTTCATTATAGAAAATACTGCTTGTTCGCTTTCAACAACCGTCTCTAACATTTCCAAAGTTAAAAGTTAAAAATTTTTATTCTCGTTTCCTGGACTCCTCGTGAAGCTTCAAAGTTTCTTTTTACCTTTCAGTACAGAAGTGTAATTTAAAACATATCCCTACTTTCATCATATAAATTTAAAACACGTCTAATTATTTAAAAAATGGGAAACATATGTCAATCAAGCATTAAGTAAGGACTATTTAGAAGTGCATTATAAGAAAAGAGTGGTAACGTATAATTGGTTATTTTTATTTAAAAATAAATTAAGGCAAAGAAATTTTCCATTCTTTCATTGAATAATAGGAAATTTATTTACAGTTTTGTTCTTATTTCGGGCACGTTTGGGGCGCATCAGCCTCACAATCACTCTGATTGAGTGATGAGCGAGTGTTTTCGTCTTTCCGGCGGCGTCAAAAACTTTTGAATCATTAGTGTCGTGAGTGTACTGCAATGTTACTAAACGGGATGTGGCAGTGTTTCCTCTGGCGCTGGGGAACGTGAGTTCGTGGGTAATTTCCTCCAAGGTACGTATATTGCTCCATCGGACACCCACCACGGGGTACCGCAGATCTACAGTCCCGG